GTCATGCCAGGATCACTCAGCTGATGATTTTATTACAGCCTTAATCCAATCAGACCTAAAATAACTGGGGTGTAATGAAAATATATGCCTTAACCTCAAAAGCAACATTTATCTAAGTATAACATCAAGGTGAATTTGCAATTCTGAAGCCAATGGGAATCAGGGAGAAATGTCTGAACTGTTTGGATTAATACCTATCACAAAAGAAGATGGGTGTTATTGTTGGAGTCCAATCACTTCAGTCCCAGGGTATCGCTGCAGGGACTCCTCGGGGTGGTGTCTTCAGCCCAACCATTTTCAGTTGTTTCGACAATGACCTTCCCTCCATCATTAGGTCAAATGTGCGGATGTTGCCTGATGATTATGCAGTCTTCAATATCTTTCATGATTCTTCAGACACTGAAACATACACCATTGAGAAACATATGTTCACTTACACCAAGATGAAGATAATATTCAAACTTGAGCTGATAACTGGCAAGTAACACTTGTGGCACAAGTGCCAGGCAATGGCAATCTGAATGAAAGGGAATACAACCATCTTCCTCTGATATTCAACAGCATAACCATCCCTGAAACCCCTACCGTTAACATTCTGGAGGGTTACAATTGACCAGAAACTTAATTGGGCCAGCTAAATATATATAAAAGCAGGTCAGATACTGGAACTTCGGCAGTATGTAACTCATTTTTTCTGACTCCCAAGTCACATCCACTACCTACAATGCACTAGACAACAGCATCATGGGATATTCACCAGTTGCCTCGATGAATGCAGTTCAAAAAATACGCAATAATTTTGAAACTTATCACCATTCAAGACCAACATATGCTTGATTGGAGCCCCAAGCACATCATAACCATAACCTTTCACGACTGATGCCCAGCAACAGCAATGTGTACCGTATAGAAGCTGCAATGCAGAAACTCACCAAGCTTCCTTAAACAGCACTTTCCAAACCCACAACCTCTACCACTAAAAAGGTCGCAGGCAACAGACTCATGGGAATATGACCGGGAGAAGAAAGGAGTGAATAGATAGGTAGGGATGGAGCCCAGACAGAGAGAGACAGAGGGAGTGAGGAAAAGAGTTAAACACAAAAAGGCAGACAATTGTTCTGTCAACAATCCTTTTGTTTGCTTAATTTTTATTCTCTATCTCTCTGTCTCAGCCCTCCTGTCATCAGCATAAATGTAACCTTTCCTAGCTGCTATTAGTTCTGAAAAAGGAACATTAACTCTGCTTTTTCTCCACAGATGCTGCCAGACTTGCTGAGTTTCTCCAGCAATTTCTGCTTTTCTTTCAGATTTTCAGCAACCACGGTTCTTTGTTTTAAGTTTAAAGAGCATGTGGCTCATGAAGGTTGGTGAATTGATTGGTTTCAGTCTGACCTTAGGGTCCTTTTGGGTTTAGTATCAAGGTGCTTTGAAGATATAGAATAATAATTTATCAGTTCTGCTGGAGACTACACCTACTGGATTGAATTCATTAAAAAGGGTTTTTGTGATGTCACATGGGTCGTCAAAATCTGTAGACAGGATTCAATATGTGCAACATAAACAGCAAGTGCTGGAGAAACTCAGCAGGTCTGGCAGTATTTGTGGAGACAGAAACAGAGTTAATATTTTGTGTCCAATATGACTCTTTTTCAGAACTGAAAGCAATTGGAAAATGGCGGTGTCATGCTGTTGACAACAGGGTGAGGAAGACTGAGTGGAACAGATTGTAAAGGTACCCAGAGCAAAGACAAAGGGATTGCTGATGGCGGGTGAAGGAGAGATTGAGATTAAAATGGCTGTAGATGAAGGTGTGAAAAGGAAAAAAATAGACCCACTCTGCTGAAAGCGTAACTAGTAGTCTAATCTAGTAGTGATTGAGTTATAGAGCTGTACAGCGCGGAAACAGACCCTTTGGTCCAACTCATCCATGCCGACCAGATATCCTAAATTAATCTAAACCCATTTGGCAGCGTTTGGCCTATATCCCTCTAAATCCTTCCTATTCACATACCCATCCAGATGTCTTTTAATGATGCATTTGCTCACTTCCTCTGGCAGCTTGTTCCACATATGCAACACCCTCTGTGTGAAAAGGTTACTCCTTAGGTCCCTTTTAAATCTTTCTCCTTCCAGCTTAAACCTGTGCCCTCTAGTTTTGAACTCCATTACTCTGGGGAAAAGACCTTGGCTATTCACCCTATCTATGCCCCTCATGATTTTATAAACTTCTATAAGGTCACCCTCAGCCTCTGACTCTCCAGGGAAAATACCTCCAGGCGATTCATCCTCTCCCTTTGGTTCAAACCCTCCAACGCTGGCAACATTATTGTAAATCTTTTCTGAACCCTTTCAAATTTCACAACAATTTCCTATACCAGGGAGACCAGAATTGAACGCAGTATTCCATCAATGGCCTAACCAATGTCCTGTGCAGCTGCAACATGACCTCCCAACTCCTATACTCAATGAGCTGACCAATAAAGGCACGTGTGCCAAATGCCTTCTTCACTATCCTATCTACCTGGGTCTCCACTTACAAGGAACTATGAACCTGCACACAATGGTCTCTTTGTTCAGCAACACTCCCAGTTCCTTAACATTAACTGTATAAGTCCTACCCTGATTTGCCTTTCCAAAATGCAGCACCTCACATTTATCTAAACTAAACTCCATCTGCCACTCCTCAGCACATTGGCCCATTTGATCAAGGCCCCATTGTACTCTGAGGTAACCTTCTTCACTGTCCACTACACCTCCAATTTTGGTGTCATTTGCAAACTTACTAACCATACTGCCTATGTTCACATCCAAATCATTTATATAAATGATGAAAAGCAGTGGAACCAGCACCGAACCTTATGGCACACCACAGGTCACAGTCCTCTAGTCTGAAGACTAGATTGAAAGAACCACTGCTCCTTCTGGAAGGTGTGCTTGGAGCTTTGGACAGTAAGGAGGGAGGAAGTTTAATGGTCAAATGTTACACCTTTTGAGATTATACGGGACGATGCGATGGGAGAATGAGGAAGTGTCAGTGATCATGGAGGAGCAGACAAGAGTGTCATGAAAAGAACAGTCCTGCGGAATTCATTGTCACCAACCAACTGAGTCTTATACTAAATAAAAACCAAAAGAACAGCAGATGCTCTAAATCAGAAACAAAAACAGAAGTTGCTGGAAAAGCTCAGCAGGTCTGGCAACATAGAGGAATGATCACTGGACCTGAAATGTTAACTCTGATTTCTCTCTACAGATGCTGCCAGACCTGTGGAGCTTTTCCAGCAACTTCTGCTTTTGTTTCCAACTCAGAGTTTTGCCTCATCAGTGTCTTACTTGCTTGTGCTGGTCTGCAGAGAAAATAGATACTTAAACACTCAAAGGGTTAGCTGCCTTGTTACATGACCATCTGTCTCCAACTGTCCAATGACTTAAATGTGGTCTTACCTAGTGGGTTCAGTTGCCAGGATTACATGATCAGATTAAGATCTGGGAAAATTCCTTTCATAGCCAGAGTTCCATTGTCCATCAAATGGTTTTTCCTCATCATTTGATTACCCTGTGATTGGCTGGATGATTTGTTAATGGGGTAGGAGATTGTCCCATTCAGACACCTTCCATGTAATTTTTCCTTGTGAGGCTTTTCTATTGAGTTAACTCTATTCAATAGCTTTAAAATGTACCAGGTACTGTGATGGAAATGTCAAGCTATTTTTGACCGTGATTTCAAATCATTGGAATATGATTTTAGATTTCTTAAAAGTATTAATTAGTAGTTTCCTGCCAGTAACTTTGTAAAATAATTTTCTTATAAAGATCAGCTTCATAATAAACTCTTCCAAGGCCTCTACATGCATCATTGAGCTTGGAACAGTATCTGTTAGTCCAATTGAAGCTTTGTGTGACCATCAATTTACCATGCTTTGTTAACAAAGCCAGGTATTGTTTGTGTTCTTGATATTTATTTTGACTTGGCTATCTAAATTGGTGCTATTAGCCTCTTGTGGAAGTGGATGAGGGAGGTGGTGATTTGGATAGGTCAGTTGGGTAAATTTCCAGGCGTGTGGTACATTCAGTCCCTGAACTAGGTACAGTACATCATGGAGAACTGTCGTCTCAGCTTTACCCACACTTGTGGAGTAGCTACTCTCAAGCTACATAAAGAAATTGTCTCTTTCTAATAAAGAGAGATGTTTTTTGTGGCCTGTGGTTCCTTTCCTCCTGTGACAAACACTCATTGACATGTTGGTGATTTTCCTTTTCAATTTGGGTGACAATGGGCCCTTTAAGTTGCCACTGCATAGGTCAAAGCAAAAAAAATGAAAAACGGCCAAGTGGACAAACTTGTTTCAGAGACAGTAGGAACTGCAGATGCTGGAGAATCTGCGATAACAAGGTGTAGAGCTGGATGAACACAGCGGGCCAAGCAGCATCAGAGGAGCAGGAAGGCTGACGTTTCGGGCCTAGACCCTTCTTCAGGAAGGCTGACGTTTCCTTCCTGCTCCTATGATGCTGCTTGGCCTGCTGTGTTCATCCAGCTCTACACCTTGTTATCTCAGATTCTCCAGCATCTGCAGTTCCTACTATCTCTGAAGCAATCCCATTCCATCTCTTTCATTTACAGGAAAACCCAGTTACTGTGAAAATGGGATTGTGAGTTATAAGGATGCAACCTGTGTTTTTGTGTGCATCTGATTTCATCGTAAAAAATAACTCTTCTTGTCATTGATTTCTGGATTTTTTTTAAAATCAATACTGGAACAAGAAACTGAAAACAGAAAAAGTTGTGAATTCACACCACGCGCACTGAAACAAACACAAGTGTTCTGGGGAAACATCCAAAATCCTGGTTTCAATTTGCTGCTGGTTTTCGCTTTTATTCCAGTTTTGCAACACCTGCCTTGGAGAGAAAAGAAGACGCGCAAGGTCGCCTCGATAATAGTCTCTGAACTGAGAAGATGCAGAAGGGTAATTGACTGAAATAGCGAGCACGATGAAACGCAGCTCACTTGTGATTCAGTGTTGTCCCTGAGCTCTCAGCGGCAATTCCAGCCAAAGACGTCTGATGCAAGGGGGGGAGCAAGCTGACTGCGAGTGGGGGAAGCGTGCGTCACTAGATCAGGAGCTTTGGGCGGTGGATGATGCTATTTTCCAGCAGCGGAGTGGCGCATTAAATAGGCGGCGTGTTTTGGTGAAAACACGGAGATTCTGAAATATTTGTGTTTTAAAAATTAGAAAAGCGAGGCGTCTTTGTTTGGTATTCAGCTCGACCCTTGTTAAATGAATTGGAGGAGGGGAGGGGGGTGCGATGGGGTGAATCTTGTGGTGGAGGCAGCGGCTGTTGTGTGTGTCTTGTTGCTTTCACAAACGATTCCGTTCGTCGAAGGTTTGGATGGGTGAGGGATGGAGGCGGTGAACCGAGCCCCGGAGATTCAGCACCAAGTGGAGAAGAAGCTGCACCGAGCGCCTTCCCCGGCCAGACCCAAAGCGATCCGGGGCTGGTCGGTGGCTAAATCCAAATGTAACCCGGGCTCCAAGCCGGGGCTGGGGATCTCCCCGTGCCGCCTCTCCCGGCACAGCCCGACTCTCAAGGACATCAAACTGGGAAAAATGCCGGCGACTAAAGCTGCGGCCGTGACGGTGAAGAAGCCGGAGAAAGGAGGAGGCGCCGGGACCAAAGGCAGCGTCCCCGGTAAGAGGAAGAAGGGCCAGCGGGCGGCCAGCGGAACCCCTCCGGCCCCGGGCAAACGCTTAGCCCCCGCCACCGACTCCAGCTCCAGCTCCAGCTCCAGCTCCGAGCTCTCCGACTGCCCGTCCGAGCAACTCTCCGGCATCCTGTCTCCCGGGGCTAACGAGCCCAGGGACGGCTGCCCTACTCCCCCCGACCCGGGGACATGGGCCGGCCAGGGCCAGCGGGAGGAAGACGGCGGCTCCTCAGCCAGCGGCCAGTCGGACGGAGCGTCCGGAGCCAAATCGCCGTCAATGGAGAGCCGGCTTCATGTCAGCAACTCGCTGGCCTTTTCCGATTTCAGCGAAGAATTCGTTGACAGCATCCAGGAGGAATTCCTGAAAGAAATAGAGGAGCTTCGGTCTGAAAACGATTATCTGAAGGTAGGCAAGGCCGGTTTAATTATTCCGCGCACACTGTTTTGTGGAAGATCGTCTTTTTTTTGTTTCTAAACATGGATGTGCCTCAAATGGGTGGGAATTGAGAAATGAGCAGAATGACCTATTGTGGGTGAACAGGATGATGTAGCTTCAGCAGCACTGTAGAGTTTGTGGACCTTCCCTGATTTTTTTTTTTGGTTTTTGTCCTATTTGCGGAGCCAGAACCTCATGATTGTCCTCCATCCAAACATTGACTAGTAGATTCGTTGTTGACAGAGTGGAATGAGCTGTAAATTGCTACAGTATTACTGTAAGGTTTCATTATTGTGCTGGAAATGGAAACCAACCTTGCATTTCAAAGGATTGAACAACAGCATCCACCAAAGCACTCGAATTTTTTAATGGAATCCAGATTTGAGTCAAGCTCTGCTTGGTAATAGTATTGGATTCTTGTAGATACTAGCTTGAATTCTGCTATGACTTTTAGGAGGTAAAGAGAAAATGTGTGCAACTCTATAAATATACCATGGAAAGCATAGCATTTTGAGACAGTTTATTTGTTCTTGAAGGAGCAAGCATTTTTGATTCTTGTAGCAGCCAATTGAAATGGTTATCCATGAGCTCTGCAAGCTGATACTAATGGACATTTCTCTGTCATTGATGTACATGCATGTGTAAAACTTTGTTCACACTTGTTTAGTCTGTTGCTGAAATCCTGACTTATGCAGTTGTTTTTCCCAGTCTCAACTCTTCCTTTGTTGCCCCATCTTTCATTCTCTATAAACTTGAGCTCATTCAAAACTCTGCTGTTTGTGTGTAAACTCTGTCCAAGTCCCATTCATTGTTACACCTATAGAGTCACAGAGTTGTACTGCAGGGAAACAGACCCTTTGGTCCAACTCATCCATGCTGACCAAATATCCTAAATTAATCTAGCCCCACTTGCCAGCATCTGGCCCATATCCCTCTGAACCCTTCTGATTCACGTACCCATCCAGATGCCTTTTAAATTTTGTAACTGTACGAGCCTTCACCACTTCCTCTGGCAGCTCATTCCATACATGACCATTTGTGTCAAAAAGTTGCCCCTTAGGTCCATGTTATGTTTTCCTCCCTCACCTTAAACCTATGCCCTCCAGTTCTAGACTCTTGGGAGAAAAAGACCTTGTCTAATCATCCTATCCATGTCGCTCATGATCTTATAAATCTCTATAAGGTCACCCTTCAACTTCTGAAACTGCAAAGAAATTCATCCCGGCTCATTCAGCCTCTCCCTGTAGCTCAAACCCTCCAACGCTAGCAACGTCCTTAAATCTTTTCTGCACCCTTTCAAGTTTAACAACATCTTTCCTATAACAGGGAGACCAGAACTGAACATAGTATTCCAGAAGTGGCCTAACCAATGTCCTGTACACTTCGTTAAATACATGAACACCTAAACCTCAACTATTTAAATGGAGTTCAAAGCCTTCATGATAGTCTCCTCCTTTACCTCTGTAACCTTCTCCAGCACTGTAAACCCTCAGGGTATTCTTTCCTCTTCTAATTCTGGCCTCTTAATGCATTGTGAGTTTACTTCATACAACCATCACAGTGTCCCTTCTGCTGTAGAAGCTCTAAACTCTGCATTCTTCCCCTAAACAACTGCACCTATTTACCCCCTCTCCTCCATTTTAAGAACTCCCTCAATTCTGTCTTTTTAACTATGTTTTGGTCACTTGTCCCAATACCTCCTCATGTGGCTTGGTATTACGTTGTCTGATAATGCTTCTGAAGTATTTTGGAATCTTTTGCTACATTAAATGAAAGTTGATATGATCATATTTCAAATGTTGTATTGTCTTTATTTAGTTAACAATTAAAGGGACCTAAGTCGATGGCACATTGTGTGTAATGGTTGTCATTTTATCAACCATATTGTACAACTTGCAGCAAGAGGAGACCCAGTATTCTTAAAACAGCTTTGCTTATTTAAAAATGTTAAAATTTTCATGCATCTTATGAACATAAATCCTTCCCTGAATATATGTTCCATTCTGAAAAAGTATTAGATGGTACAGAACCTCTTCTCGAGTGTATAATTTAGCTATTCTTTACCAAGCTAATCTGAGTAATCTTCTTTGATTCAAAGTGTCAAAGGTGAGACCTAAATATAGAAAATAGTTTTAAAGTAATAGCGCAAAAGGTTGGTAGCTGTATCATTTAAAATAAACATACAATCAGGATGGTAGGAACTGCAGATGCTGGAGAATCTGAGATAACAAGGTGTAGAGCTGGATGAAGGCCAAGCCTTCCTGCTCCTCTGATGCTGCTTGGCCTGCTGTGTTCATCCAGCTCTACACCTTTGTTATCTCATACAATCAGGATGAATTACTTGATGGTGCACACCTTCCAGTGAAGACAGAGTCACCATGACTTTAAATGTTAATATTAACTGCTGTTACAAAAGCAAAACATCAGGAAGATGGATCAACATGGGCGGTATTCAGAAAACCACAGCTGGGGGATTGAAATGGTTCTAAGCAGCAATAGTAACAACAACAGGGAAGACAGATACAATTCCCCTGTTCGCCATCTTAATAAAATTCATGAATACTTTTGTACTCCCATCACACAATAAATTAAGAAACAATATTACTTGAAGCAAAAAGTTATTTCTGCTGAAAGTAACTGGAGGAAATAGAAGTCCAGCATAAGCATCTTCCATGAGTCATGTGGACAAGAGCATCCTAACTTCAATCTCTAGTCTCTCATATGTTTAATTAGTTGGTCTCGGCTGAGCCTGCACAACTCAGTTTCCTAAGGGAGAGGGATTGGTGACTTCAGAATGGTATTTACAGAACTTTTGCAAGATAAATAAAAATAGAGCCTCAAAACGTGATTTACGTTTACAGAACTTAGTCTCGTTGTGGCAATTGGCTTCATCAAAACTAACTAGTTTTCACTGTTCAATAATCCATTATTTCATCCCATATTCCTAAATATTACTTTAAAATATAAAGCATCAAAAGAGGTTAATTATGTTCATTTCATAAGAGCTGCCTTACTTCTACAGCTGTGGTTAAAATAGGTGCAATATATTTATGGTAAAGGAGGACTGAAAAATTTATGACTATTTTTGTATGCTTACAACAAAATAAAGCATGTTAAAATTTAAATTTGTCTGTTACACAGAAGCAAATTTGAGCGTGCCAGTTAAACTCCACTTTAATGCATTGTAAAGTGTTTGTAAAGCCCTTAAAACGTAATGCATAGAATTTGAAACATTTGCCAAGCATTTTATTTCTGTATCGCACTTGATAACTTGTAAACAAAATATTATCTGTATCTTTGTGTGATAGAGCTAAAATTCTGACAGTTATGTGACATAACTAACTTCAGTGTTGAATTTCAGACAGAGGTCAATCTGATTATTTTGGTTTAGAAATTGGGGGAAATTAAAGTTGTTAGTTAAAGATGCCAGTAGTAACTTCTGATCTCCAAATTAATACTCATTGGTCTTGAATTGTTTTATGGTCCTGAGGCAAACTATGTTTGGGCCACTCTATTCTATTGTGTTCATATTTTTTGTTTGTTGGTTTAGCATATTTTTGGCATTGTTGGTTAAATCCTAAATCAAAACCGTTATAATCAAAACCGTAGCAACATTATGTGGCCTAAATTTTCCATTCAATGGATAACATTGAGCCAGGTTGTACTGTAACAGTAATGGTGTCTGACCAACATGTGTTATTAATGTGCAAATTTGCCAACGACCTGCAAGGAGGAAAAGCTGCCCATGAGTTGCAAATCATCAGTTTGTTGATTGATTTGCATGCTCGATTTATTAACTTCACAAAACTGGCATTTCCTGCTTTTCAGTTATGAATTGTTTCAGATTTTTTTAAAGTGACAAAATGATCCTTCTGTCCCCTGTCATTCTTAGCCAACCCTCCTTTCCTTTTTTCCCCTCCAAACATTAAATCTCATTATTTAAGGAAATGCACTTTTTTTTCCCCTTGTGGTATGAAGGTCCATTGCAGTTGCTCTCATTGCCGTTTTATCACCTTGCACTTATGGCAAATTGGCTAATTGTGCCCAAGTCTCTCAATGTCCTAATTTGGGCAAGTGCTGCTGTTCTTTCATTGTCATGGTGAATTGTACACCATTGTGGGAGTTCCATTCTGACAAGAACTTCACTGGTCAAGCAGAAAGCCCACTTCCAAAACCTCAGGGGAATTAAGGATAAGTAATAAATGCAGTTTGCATCCTGAGATCAACAAAAAATTGCAGGATGAAAAGCTTATTTAATGTACTACATTAAATGGTGCCAATAGAAATTCAGCTCTCTATTTTAAAGCTGGGTTGTGAGCTAGATTTTTTTAAATCAAGACTGAAATTTGATTCTAGCATCCACTGACAATTTGTATAAAAATGTTTAATAATTTAAGCAATGTAGGCTAAATCATAAATACAGTCTTCACCTACTAATCATCTGAAGTCAATCTTTGCCAAACTTCCAGCTTAGTGTGAAACAGCTCTCATCAATTAACCCCAAGCTTGTCTCTGAAATCCCACCTTGCACCAACAGGAAGTGATGTAAACTAGTCATTTGATCCTTCCCTGTGGTCATTTATATCCCATCTGCTCCAACAAAAAGCTTAAATGTATGAACAGCTGGCATCATGAGGCAGCTGGAAAATCTGTACTTCAGGACTGTTTGCATAACGGGTAACACTGAATTCATGTTATACGGACGAATCCAGTGCACAACATATTACTGTTCTCTTCAAAATTCATTTCAAAAATAGTAAAACTCACAATCACACTTGTGTTGCAACCATAATTGGATAGTACACTCATCTTGTGGTGTAATGACTGATTTAGTTTGAAAATAATACTTTTTTCTTGGTATTTTTAGATTTTTTTCTGACAAATGTTCATTTACTAATTTTTTATGGTACAAAAAAACATACTGAATTACTTTTGACTACAGCTGGGAAAATCACAGGAGGCAGTGACATCCATTCTTCTGTAGACATGCTTCTCAGTGGGACTTGGTGCATATTTGCATGATTGTTGTTAATCAGTGCATTAATAATATTTCACAAAAGACATACCCCGCACAGTCATTTTAATTGCAATTCAGGCATCTTCAATCTATCACAGATATTAACCTGCTTTATTAAAACTGGTGACCAATGTTATTCCTCATTTCATGTAACAGTGAAAACTGCCAAATGCATTTAATAGTTTCTTTCCTGTAATGTTTGCAAATGTGAAGATTCATGTTTTGTTGTGCTTTCAGAATGGTGGATTTTCAGTTAGTCCATGCTGAGATTAGTAGCACTAGCTCCCATTCACCTGTAGATTATCTGCTTGTACTTTTTGGTTGTATTGCTTTGCCAGTGTGTGTGCTTGTTTGTTGTGTTAAGTCACGAGGGAGAAAACTGAGAATGATAAGGAAGGTACCTAGATACATGATGAATTGTATTTCAAAAGTGTCTGATTCATCTTCCACACAGCTGAATTGTACAAATGATTGAGGGGACCTTGACTTCAGAAGTTACTGTTTGCATTTCGCTGTCAGTAAAACTTTATTATATCCTACCCTTAAAGAATCATTTAAAATGTTGCAGTTCATTTTGAAAGTATTGAGGTGTTCCTTTAGTTCTGTGCCATTCTTTCAGTTTTAAAGATGAATAACAATTAAGGAAGATTGGTTATTTAACTTCTAGTGTATTTAATTTTTGGCTGCTTCGGTTTTATTCACAAAAGAACTGTTTTATCTGCAAGCTTTTCAAATTTCATTTTTTAAGGATATGGATTATGCCTTGATGGAACAATGAAACTCAACAGATTTAAAATAAGATGCAGCATAGGATTAATTTGCACTTCTTATTATGTGGAGGGGGTAACAAAATTTATTTACTACTTTTTATTTTCTATCTTGCTGTCTTAAAACATTGAGGCAACATAGAAATGAAATATACTATTGTTTCTGATTTCAGGATGAAATTGAGGAGCTTCGAGCTGAAATGCTAGAAATGAGGGATATCTATTTAGAAGAAGATGTTTACCAGCTGCAGGAACTTCGTCAAGAACTAGACAGAGCAAATAAGACTTGCCGCATCCTTCAGTATCGCCTGCGAAAGGCTGAACGACGAAGCCTACGAGTAGCTCAGACTGGCCAAGTTGATGGAGAACTAATCCGAAGTTTGGAGCAAGACGTGAAGGTATACATGCATGCTTTAAACAATTTTTCAGAGTATTCTTGGAATAAATTAAAGGGACTGGTATGGTACAAAGTTTAATTTGCATTTTTTAAGTGTCATAATCTTGCTGTGTAGAAATCCTTCTACATGATACCTTCCCAGCCAATATTTATTGCTTGAAGAGTTGTTAGATGAGTTCGGTCAGGAAGTTGCATTGTCACGAATAAGTTCACAGGAATGCGTGCATAGCGTCATCATTCACATTCAGCGATGATGTGTCCAAGTCTCTCTCCAACAATGTTGATATGATGAGCTCAATGAGAATACATTTCTGTATTTTCAAGCAGCTGGTTTGTTTACTTTTCTATTGGAAACCAGTTTCTTGAAAACTCAGTTTTGGAATGAATTGAATTTAAAAAGTAGAATCAGCATCCTAGTTACTCTACTTCACTTTTATTAATGGTGATCTTCACTTTGTTAGTAAATCTTTAACATGAAATAAGTGAAACTCTTGCCCCGAAGTTCTTCAACCCACCTTTTTTTTTCTTTTTAAGAAAGAAGCTTGTTTTTTTTTTTTTTTTTTTTAAACAGTTTTGAAGACAGTGACCACCAGCCTACTCAGTATCTCAGTTCTGTTACTAAAACCTCTGATGTGCCTTCTTCTAGGAGATTGCTCCAATTCCTCGACATATACACTCTCACTCCTTGGATTCATTCGTAAGGCAAGCAGCACTAAATTTCTCACTCCATGTCCAATCTTAAAACATTTCTTTTCTTTTCTTTTGACTCTTCAAATCCCATCCCCTTTCATTGGGACATACATATGCAAACAGGAAACATCAAAAATACAGTCACGTTGACAAGCTTTAGACCATTTAAACACTTTTTTTTCAGTAGCAAGATTAATCACAATCGTATTTCATTTTTGAGGTCAAATATCACACATTACAATCGAAAGCATCAAATACTTTTGAGATAAACAATTGGCTGGGAGCCTACTTCTTTTATTACTTCCATTTATTATTCAATCTATTATTTATCTTTCCTCCCCATTTATGCAAGATGTTTTCAGTAAACACATAAGGAGAGATTAATTAGACAAGGCCTTTGTACCCCAGAATTTAACAGTAAGAGTTGATCTAATTGGAGCATATAAAATTCTTAAGCAACTTGCCAAAGTAGATGTTGAGAAAATATTTCTTGTAGCTACCAGAATACAGGGTTATAGTCTTGGAATAATGGATCAGCCATTTAGGTCTAAGATTAGGAGAAATTTCTTCAGTCAGTGTTGTGAAACTTGGAAAAGATTTTTACTCTGAGTGAGTTGTGGATGATCGGTTACTGGGTATGTTCGAAACACAGGTTGATAGGTTTTTTGGGTATTAAGGGAAATGGAAATGGTGTGGGAATTTGGGTTTGAGGTAAAGGATCAGCTATAACCTTGTTAAAAAGCAGTTCGGCTGAAAGTGCCAAATGATACTCTTAACACTTAAATTTTTCTAAAACCTGAAAACCAATTCCCGTTGATCCTACGGCCTTTGACCCTTCTGTCTGGAAGTGGTTTGATCTGTCTTCAAAATGCAACAATGAGTTGAAATTTGTGGATATCCATTTTTAAGTGCAAAGCTGTTATATGTAAATGTTCCTCACTTAAGTCAGCACAACATTAATCTTATTCTTGTATCAGAGATAGGAGGAACTGCAGACGCTGGAGAATCTAAGACAACAAGGTATAGAGCTGGATGAACACAGCAGGCCAAGCAGGAAGGCTGACGTTTCGGGCCTAGACCCTTCATCAGAAATGGGGGAGGGGAAGGGGGTTCTGAAATAAATAGGGAGAGAGGGGGAGGCGGATAGAAGATGGATAGAGGAGAAGATAGGTGGAGAGGAGACAGACAGGTCAAAGAGGCAGGGATGGAGCCAGTAAAGGTGAGGGTAGCTGGGGAGGTAGGGAGGAGATAGGTCAGTCCAGGGAGGACGGACAGGTCAAGGGGGCGGGATGAGGTTAGTAGGTAGGA